ACTATATTAGTTTTTTAGTGGTAATTACCTTTTTGTGCCACTATATCTTAGGCAAATCGGTTACCTACATCCCTAAAATTTCATTCCCGCTTTTGATTCCCGCTCCCATAATTTTAGTTCCCGCTATACCTAATTCACAATTTCATATTCCCCTAAATACCTCAAATACCTTTTCATCTCCAAAACCTAAATTGCTTGAATGGAAAACGTAAATCGCTCAAATGTTCCCACTTTCCCTAACTCCTCCGTGCTCCGGAGCTCTGACCTGCACTCATGGTCGACTAAAGGTGTCATAGCTGCACTTCGTTGCTTAACTTTGAATGTACTGTATGTGTTTGTTTTCTCTTTTACTTATTTCAGGCTACTCCCTTTACTTTTCTTTATTATCTTTGATTACTCATCGTTGGACATATTTTAGATTGTTGATATGGAACCTTGTTCTCCAAAGCTCCAATCCTTGTGTATTAATGAATGCTTATTTTTTTGGTTGTTTTTGTAAGATAATGATTGAACGATTACATGGATTAAAGAAATGTGTGTTAATGGCAGCAGAAGAGGCTTCATCACCTTGGGCACTTGAAAGTTAAACAGGAAATATACTCAACATGGATCAGTTCATCCAAAAAAATCTTATAAAGCTTTGCTAATCCAAATGTTAGGTAGTGGATCATATTTTCTCTTGAGATTCTAGTATTATTCTTTATTTAATTTGGTAAAAGAAAATATAACTTTGAGATGCATTACTTGACAGATGAGCAGGGGACAACTCATAGAGGATCTAATGCATCAAAAGGTATAATAGAAATTATAATAAAAAATATTATTTGTAATCTAGTGCATCAAATGGTGTAATAAGAAATTATAATAAAAAATGTCTCTTAAAAAATAAAACAAAATAGTGTAATTAGCTTAAAATGGAGTCCAGGGAAAACCAAAGAGAATAATATTTGAGTTATACATGAGAGATGTGGTCATATGGGTGGTTTTAAAAGAACTATTTTACATATTATAACAACTATTTTTAGATATAGGACTAATAAAAAGAAGAAAATATAAACTAATGTGTCATTATGTTTTATTATTTTAATTAAATTTAATAATGATTCATGCTTTTACTTATTTTCATATGTAATCTTATCTATTTGCAGGTGTTACACTATTTTTTGGATCAAGAGTGTAGAATTATGGTTTGGTTAACTTCATGGTATTACTCCACGGCTTGCACAATTGAAGAAGTTACACTATTTAGTTTCTTATTTCTTCCCCGACAAATATTTAGTTTGATGTTATTATCTTTTGAGTACTAGCATAACATTTAAAATATTGTTATTAGACAAGTTTAAATTGAAGTAATGATATTGTATTTTCCATTTATTATCTATTATTATTTTATATACCATATAAAATTAAATAAAATTGAACCTAATTTATTAATATGATATTTTTTTTGTTAAAAATATCACTAAAAATTAAAATAATATTTATAGTAGTAGTTAAATAGTGGCATAAAAATAGTGCCACTAAAGTCAGCAAGTTTTGTAGTGGCATAATAGAAAAGTGCCACTAAAACCCAATAAGGCTGCAACGACACAACCAAAAAGTGCCAGTACGGTCTTTAGTGACAACGCTTTTAGTGGCACTTTTTCTTTGCGTCGTTGTTTGCCCTAGGGGTCTTTAGTGGCACTTTTTCGGTTTTTAGTGGCACTTTTTTTGTACCACTACATGTTATTTTATTTGTAGTGTTAATTCTTCTTTTGCAATATAAACAGTTTTTCAATGGAGTTAGTAAAATTTAATTTGGTTTGTAGTAATATCTAGTATGTTATAATTATATGTGATTCAAATGTAAATCACATGTAATTCACATATGAATTACATGTGATTCACATGTAATTCACGTATAATTACATGTGATTCACATATAAATCACATATGAATCACATGTGATTCACATGTAAATCACATATGAATCACATGTAATTCACATATGAGTTACATGTGATTCACATGTAATTCACATGTGATAACATGTAATTCACGTATGAATTACATGTGATTCACATATAAATCACAAGTAATTCACATATGAATTATATGTGATTTACATGTAAATCACATGTAATTAACATATGAATTACATGTGATTCACATATAAATTACATGTGATTCATATGTAATTCACATATAAATTACATGTGATTCATATGTAAATCACATGTAACTCACATATGAATTACATGTGATTCACATGTAAATCACATACGTATTTTTTGTGAGTGTTTTTGCATTAATCATTTTTATTTTTTAATTTTCTTGTAGGTTTGAAAGAAATTGTGGTGAATATTGAAGAGGTGAAAAATGATAAATTGAAGAAGATATGTAAATATTGACACGAAGACGCTTTGAAATTTTGTAGCATTTTTTTGTTTTTTATATCTTATTTTGTACCGAATAAAATACTTATTTTATTGTGTTTATAGATTAGTAAATAAAATAAGTTTTTCTTATGATTTCCTTACAAATATTATAGTATATGAAATATACATATATGCATTTGTAAAAATATGCATATATGTACCTAAAATGTTGATTTTTTTGGTTAAAAAATTATAATATTTTTTAAATATTATAGTTTTTTTTAAGTTTTATTGATTTTTAAATACTTTTAAAAAATTGTAGTTTTTAAAAAAAAAATTCAATTTTTTTTTCAAAAATTCATGTTTTCTATAACACAATTAAAAAATCTGCATTTTTTAAAAAAAAAATTGAAAAATACTATTTTTTTAAAATCCGAAAATTTGAATTATTACGTAACTTTTTAGACATTTCTATTAATATTTCCAATAACACAAAAAATTAAACATTAAATGAGATTGATAAGATTACAACCATACCCTTAATGAATTAGTTTTGATCCAACGCTCCACTTTTAGTTCTCGGGTTCTCGGAAAACTATGAGTTCTCAACCGATCTCACCCTTATATATATATATATATATATATATATATATATATATATATATATATATATATATATATATATATATCAAGCAGTTCGGTCGGTTATCCGCAGAGATACCTAAGTATCCAAACAAAAACCGACCCGTTGATATCCAGTTTTTTCGGTTTCGGTTTTTTCCAGTTTCGATTTTTTTCGTTTTTGGTTTTTTTGGTTTCGGCTCGGTTTTTCGATTTTACGATTTTTTTTGCACACCCCTACTATATACATATACTAGGTTAAAACCCGTATGCTACATGAGTGATAAATTAACATAACTTACATTTTAGTAATAAAAATTAAAGAAATAGCAACATAATATCATTTGTCTAATGTTGAATGCATGATTTTATGAAAACTAAAAAATCAAATAAAAATGTAGTGCATTGTTATTTCTGAATATATAAAAAACCTCACCATACATATCTATTACCCATATTTTAGTAAAAGTACTAACACATATCAATATAACTACAAAGAGCTCTATATTAATAAAAAAGACAAAGAAACTCCTATAAACACCTACCAGACAAATAAAAAAAAAACATATGGTAAATCAGTGTCAAAGCAAACTCTCATGTGCAAAATAACAATTATGGCATTCATTTCCATCTTAGGGCAATAACCTATAAAATTAAATTCTAAATTTAATTGATAAAATCATATGCAAGGTCTTGAATGTGGAGAAAAAGAGAACCATGAATTTATTGACATAAACCCACCTTGGTATAATTAATTAAAATTAGCAATATATATATATATATATATATATATATATATATATATATATATATATATATATATGATGCAACCGTATTAGGTTGATTAAAATACATACTAAATACTAAGGGGACATGAACACACTCACATACATACACACTATTCTTCTTGCAGATGGTAGTTATAAGCTTCAGCATTTGAATGTTCCTTGTGTTTACTGGTGAGAACTTGTGTTTATAAGGCAATTTTGATAATAGTGAATAAGCACAAAGAATGAAACTCAGCAGCAACAAAGAAAAACTCAAGGGCCAATCTATGTAGCTTCATTTTGTAAAAATAATTTAATCACCGTAGAACATTTTCATCTCACACACAAAAAAAAAAAGCTAAAAAATTCTCCGCTACAATGTAAGAGAAATTTTTAAGAAATGGTCTATGTGCAACATTTTTGTCACAAACAAAAGAATTTTAAAAAATAATTTTTTTTTCAAAAATAAAAAAGATTAACAACCAAATGATTCCATTTATAGCATTGTACTTAGAAAGTACATTGTTATAATTGGGAGTAATCAAGGAACCTGATGCATTTTAATGTCGAAAAAATAGTTTATTCTATAAAACAATCCAGGAAATCGACACATGAAATGATTAATAGGAAGTTGGTAGGTTAAGTTAAATTAACTTTGGAAGCCAACATTTTATCTTCCTTTTTCAATTAAATGAGCATATACATATGATTAACAAAAAGCACAACCATATCATAAAATTTTATTGGAGCAAAGTAAATAATGCCCACATATAAGATAACACTACAATATTTCATCACAAACAAAATAATTATAAAAAATAAGATTTTGAGAGGAATAAAAGAAAGATTAAGAACTAAACGATGCCAATTATGGCATTATACTTAGAAAGTATATTGTTATAACATGCACAAACCTTCAAATAAAAAATAACATTCACATCAAATTCGCAGGAAAATGGGCAACAATTCATGAAAAATATTTAGTAAAAACATTTTTTTTGAAAGTACAATGCAATTAAATTGTCATTTCAAAAAAAAATTGAAAAAAGTTGGCATCACACCTGACCTGCTAACAATAGACATCAAAAGACCACAACTTCAGGAAGCAAGCCAATATCACATATTCCCATTCCACTCAAATGATTCCAATTACCTTTTTACCCTTGGGCAATCTGATAGTATTCTACAAGGTCAAAAGAAGGTTTTTCTTGATTACAAAAAGAAAACAAAAAAAGAAATCTTTAGCTTTACCTCATCAAATATGTTTCAACTCAAGTTGAATAGCAACCTCTATTTGTATTATTATTCCCAGATGAATCAGCGAGGTGGTTCCTTGACCAGGTAAAGGGGTAGGACCTGATGCTTCTTGAGCTGCTAATGCTTTCTTGCTAACGATATGATATATATCTGTCAAAATAGTTTGAAATATTTTCTCAACATTATGTGCTTCAAGTGCTGATGTTTTAAGAAATGAAAGCCCTTCTTTTTCAGTGAGAGATTGGCCATCTTGTTCAGCCACTATTCGGAGATGATTCAGATCAAAATTGTTTTCGGCCATCATTATCAAAATTTTGGAGTCTGTGTGGTCTCTTAACTCACGCAACCATCTTTGAATGTTATCAAAGGTTTGGCTCTTGGTTATGTCATACACCAGAAGAGCTCCAACTGCACCTCTGTAGTATGCACCCGTTATCGCTCTGTACCTTTCTTGCCCTATTGTATCCCAAATTTGTGCCTTTACTGTCTTTCCATCAACTTGTTTTCATGTCATTTAGTCAAATCTTGGTGAAATATGAACTCATAACACCCCTACACATTCTTTCATACACTTGGTGTGCCAATTTGGATTGGATACTTTAGATACTTGACATGTATTATTAGACAGGAGTAATTCCTAATTAGTCGGTATATTAGCAGAAACTGTTTATCGGATCATAGGTTTTTTAAGTTCAAAAGAGAAATCAACAGGAAAAAGAAGGAAATTTAGACCTGAAGAGTTCTAGTAGCAAACTCAACTCCAATCCAATTTAGCAAACTAACCTGAAGAAGATGAAGTCTTCGGGCTTATAAGAAGAAGAATCCACCGATTAACCTGAAGTATGAAGCAATGATTATCTTAAAGTTGATACAAACAACAACTAAACCGAGTAAAATGAGAAAGATGTGCCAAAGGTGAAAGCGAAGAGCGTAATTATGTAAAGGGGAATTCCTGATTTCAGAAAATTGAAAACGAAGAGCGTAATTGATGGTACCAGAAGATGTATGTAGCTAGAAAAAAGATGGATGTGGATAATTTCCGAGATTTAGGGAGATCTACCATTTTAGGATTTCAAAATTTGAATCCAAAATCTAATTTGGGAAGTAATAGTAGATATGCGAGATTAGGGGAGAAGAACGCAAAAATGTTATTTTCGGAACTTCACATAGAAACTTTCAGCGGGAAAATTCAATTGGGAGGGGCTAATAGAATGTCACCCGACAAAATTGCTCTTATTTATTAGATTAGGGGATTTATCATTTTGTTATAATTCTGTTTTGACATCGAAAACCGGAACGACAGCCGTAACGAGGACCAATATATACATTTGGTTTGGATTTAATTTTGTATAATATTTCAGTTTCGGGTTAGGTCCGAATCTCGGACCACGAGGGCCGAATACTAGACCATCATGACCAAATTAATTTGCAGGTTTTTTTTTTTTTTTCCTTAAATCCGGTTTCTTTTATTTTTGTGAGGATTGGGGTTTGGCCGGAGGGGAAACAAAGGAGAGGAATGCCGCTGGGTAAGTACTACTGTGACTACTGCGATAAGCAGTTTCAGGACACCCCTTTCCACCGGAAACGCCACCTTCAGGGCCTTCTCCACCAGAAAGCCAAAGCTCTCTGGTACGCCTCCATACCACGAGGTTTCCTCTCTCTCTCTCTCTCTCTCTCTCACACACACACACACATGCTAAAATCGTATCGTACGATTTCATGTTTTCTTCTAATTTACAGATCCCAATCAAGTATCCCTACAATCATCAACTGTTGGACTCTGCCATCGCTTCATCCGAACGGTAATCGCTTCGCTCCTTTGTTTTCCACAGATTTTATGAACTTTCAAATCGGCGTTTAGTTCTTTTTGGGTTAATTTCATAATGTGAAAGTACCATGAATGAAATTTCTGGTGGCGACATGCTAGCAGCGTTTGTTTAATGATCTTAATCGAGATTTACACATTCATTATTGTAAAAAGTTTCATAGTCGTCAAAATTGATATATAGATTTCCAGATATTGAGAAAAAAATATTCACCTAATGAAACATTGTAGCCCTACATTTGAACAATACCTGTATCATCATCATCATCATCATCATAACTTTCATTCATTGATTGTTTTTAGTTTCACTTTCTCTTGGTATTCTGATGAATTCCAACTTTCTATTTGCAGGGTTCATGCCCATATGGTGATTCATGTAAATATGTTCATCCCAATCAAAACCTTCCAAACATGAACATGCAGGGTTTTGCAGGTGAATACTTGTTCCTTTATAGGGTTTCTTTTAAATTTTTACTCCCCATTGTCTATTGTTCTAGTAAAATAAACAACAAGTATAGTAGTAGTACATAGCATTAGATTTGAACCTTTTTAATCGTAATATTGAATCTAATCTCTTCTTCAGTTACAAATAGCATTGAAACTCAATTGCCAAGTTTCCCAGGGAGTCAGTCCATTGAAAGATCCTCACTCTCAGGTAAGTATTGCTAATCAACTGTTAGCTGAGAAAAAAAACTTATTTTTATCGTGTTTGGTAACATTTACATACTTTTATAGTGTTGTATGCATTTAATCATTACAAAAACAGTTGAAGGCTTTAATCGTATAAAGTTGTATAACTATGTTGTGTTTTTCTGTATTTTGTCCTTCTATGCGAACTAAGCTGCAAAATTTTGTGTGATCACCTTTCTTTTCTAGAGATAAATACACATACATACATATGTATGTATATGTATATGCATGTAGACACACATACATACATAACCTCTCAAGAATGTAGACCCAACCGAAATTGGGTAGTAAAGACATGGTTTCTAGGGCTATTTTCACTGAGGATTTGGAGGGCATTTACGTCTTTTGCACCAACTAGAGCTCATGAGCGAGTTGCTCCACTTTTTTTGTTAGAACGAAAAATTGTAGTTTCTGTCTCATTGACATTAGTCATTGTTTCGTAGGCTATGCCACACAGGCTAAACCCTAAACCCTAAACCCTAAATTTGTTTTGTATACCTTGTGTTTGCAGGCGGCATGGTAGTAGATAGGATGGGTGTTATGCTTGGAAATTTACCTCCATCGTTAAGACCACCACCAGAAGGTGGATATCCACCTCTTCCATTTGTAGATTGGGGATAGGTTTGTGTTTTATCATTTAAATACTTAATTTTGTTGTATATGAATGATCAAATACTTGATAGTTAATACATGCACATTATCAAGTTGATTGGAGTATGATAAACTATTGGTTTTGTTTATTGGGTAAAATACAGAAAAACCTTTGTACTTTCATCGTTTTATTGCTTATTTATTTTTCGTAGTGAGCGAACCAATACATACATAAAAAACAATTTTCTAGGTTCTCTGAAAAATAAAGAAAAGCACGACCTAGTTTTACTATTTTATTGATACAACCATTGAACTATTATTATTAAAAATATAAAATTTCACGATTGGTTCTTGTGGTTAACAAAAAGTCGCACGCTAAGTTTCTTATGAGTTTCAATTTCTTGCATGGTTGGTCTCTAACGCATGCAAAATGTTTTTTATATCCTTATTATTATTTTTAAATATTTTTCTTTTACTTATTTACAATTTTGGATTAATATTGTAATCAATTAACTTTTATGATGGAACATATTAAAATCCAAATAATTATGTAAATAAAAGTTAATTGACTCAGTAGGATTCAATATATTGTAAAAAAAGTTAATCAAACAGTATGTCGATTGTTTGATTTTAATATTGATATTTCAGTCGACATACTTTAATATGTTCATGGTAGAAATGAATTTATGATGGAACATATTAAAATCCAAATAATAGAAATGATTTTATGATGGAACATAATAAAATCAAACAATATGCCGACTGAAAGATCCATATTAAAATCAAACAGTATGTCTGACTGAAAAATTAATTGATTATTAATTATGTAAATAAAAGTTAATTGACTCCATTGTCATTTCTACAAATATTAATTAATTATTTGGCGAATACGATTACATGCCTTTAAAATAATACAGTATGTCGACTTAGAGATCCAACATTACGATGGTTAGACTCAAACGAGAGCTGCGTAATAGCGTCAAATCAGGCAATCTAAAACTATTTAATTTTGGGAGCATGCAATCTAACGTACTTGTTGAATAACTAATTAATATTAATATAGGTTCTAAGCAGCAAGTAACAAGCAATCCCCTAGACTATAAGACATCTTAAGTATTAGACAATTCTAACCGGTGATTCCTAAAAAGATCCATGGCCCACATACTAGCATGCATTTCTCACATTTCATACATCAACAAAGATAACAAATATAAATATTTTGGGAATCACTTTCCTTTATGAGCTTTGAGTGACTGTACACATCGCATTCTTTCCATTTGTATAATTTTTTTATGAAAAGATTTATTAGTTACTCAGATCCGTAGTTTGAGTCTGGAATCACATAAATGTTCATCCAGTTCGCTCAAACCAGGGCTCTGATACCAACTTGACATGTCCCGATTTTCAAACCAAAATTTTCAATTTTATTTATTAAAACATATCAGAGTGTAATTTACATTATGCAAAAACATGTTGCGAATGCACGTGTGTACAGTCGAACCTTGCCCTTCTCACGAATCGATGAATTTCCTGAAAAGCATTCATAAACAACTGGGTAAGCGCTAGGTTTAGTGAATTCCCCAGAATATCATCTACCACAATACATATACATGCATACAAACGGGCCCTACCCAAGCTACATAATGGGCCCCACCCAACATACATAACGGGCCCACCCAAAACTATATGAAGGGCCCCGTCGGACATACATAACTCTACATAGAGACTACACCTTATGTTCTACTAATATAGGCACATAGAAGGTATACTATCGACTCTACTCTACTAGCTCCTATGTCCTAACATACATGGATATATATTGTAACACATAGTATAGTAAGGTAACTCACCTGGATAGTTTCTCAAAAGATTAACAGCTTTCTAGGCGATCACACTGGCGGTCAATGCATCTAACTAGTATTAACCTATAACATTACAATTTATTAGCCCCTATAGGAATCTGGTAATGAAATGTTAGATCTTTCACTAATCCCAGTTAATACTGAGAGTTCTATCAAATAAGGATCGACCAGGCAAGACAGTTGAGATGCAAGATCATTTCGGCATATAGCTTTTCTGAAATCCAACAACCAAGCCAACATGACCATTCTAGACACCTCTCCTGTAACGCCCGATTCCTAGGGTAAATTCCTTTAAATTCTAAATGTTTAATTATTTTGCAAAGGTGGCTATTACGCAGGGCATAATTAAGGTACACAGGGCGTACCTTGTCGATACTTGGATACGGGGTTTTCCCCCTGGTACGCTGGGCGTACCTAGAGTACGCAAGGCGTACTCGAGTCAGGGGAAAACCCTAAAATTTAGGGTTTGGACCCTATTTAAGGACCTTATAACCTCAAGGCCTCTTTTATTATCAATCTTCTTCGTCCCAAAGCAGTTCCCTCGAAACCCTAGCCCCTTTTTAGAGAGTATTGAGCCTTTGTGCGTTTTGGTGTGGTTTGATGCATTTTAAAGAAAAAAGAACCCTTTGGAGAAGCACTTGTTGACTTGAAGCTTGTAGATCCAAAATTTACTCACCTTGACCATTCTTTTGGAGGTATAAAGTCTCAACCTTGTTGATTCATTTCTTAGATTTAGTTAGTTTAGGGTTTTTGGCATATTTTGGTCCCTTGGTTTGATTCATGTGAGTATAAGATATTCCAGAAGCTTAGGTTAGTAGATTTTGATGCTTTTGAGGTCTATAATACATAAAAATAGCATCTTGATGGATTTAGCTCAACCATGCATGAGTTGGTGGTCATAATATGAAGTTAGAATGTTAGAAATGGGTGTTGGGCCTCTTTGAGCCATGCAAAGGCATCAAGTTGATGACTTTATCATTTAAAACGTTTCCCAAGAGGAAGATATGTGATTTGGACGTTTGGACTTAATGCATTAAGTGCTTAATGTGAGTTTTAGTCATCAAGGGAGTACGTTGGGCGTAAACTAGCGTACGCTCAGCGTAATACAAGTTAGCCCCATTTCCCCTTCGTTGTTGAAGCTTGTACGTTGGGCTTAAGAGGGTGGTACACCTAGCGTACTCACAAAAAGAATTTTAGGCCTTAGGTCTTCATTGGTTTGGGCCATTGTTGGGCCTTAAGTCTTTATATGTTTGGGCCATGATTAGATGGGTCAAATAAGAAAAGGGTAAAATGGTCTTTTACCCTTAGCATGTTAGATTATGATCTGGACCTTTTATTATGGGTTATTACCCTGATTATTTATTAGAGTTAATTTTGGATATGTTCAGTGTGAGGAGCCGTAATAGCAGTAGCTCAAGAGTGTGAATTGTTCATCTTTAAATTGAGGTGAGTCTCTTCACTATACTTGTGGGTCGAAGGCACCAATGACGTCCCACTGAATTATGTTGTAGGATAGTAGTGGTCTTCGTGACTGTAACATCCCAAAACTACAGATAAAATTTTGTTTTTAATTTCATTCAAATCACACGACACTAATATCAAAATAGTCAAAAGAGTATCATAGTAACATGTTATCAGAGTACAAATTCCCAAAATCACTAGGTGAGGAAATCATAGGGTGATGTGGTGCGATCAGGCCGGGCCCTTCCCCTTTGAACTGGTAGTACCTGAAACATAAACTGAAGACTGTAAGCACAAAGCTTAGGGAGTTTCCCCAAAATACCACATACTAAACAAACATACTGCCAAGCATATCTGGGTGCTTGTCTACCCCTTCGGTCTATTTCAACCAGATACTATCAAATATATATGGGTGCTTGCCTACCCCTTCGGTCTATTTCAACCGGATACTATCAAACATATCTGGGTGCTTGCAATCCCCTTCGGTCTATTTCAACCGAATACCGGACCTATTTCACCCATACTACTACCACATAATATCATAACATGAATCACAGAGTCATCAAACAAATACAGGTATAACTGACAATTGTCACAAAGACAATCATCATACTACATCATAAACTAGTGGGCTAACATTGGTACCTTCAACCCATAGATACTACGAAGGAAGACTCACCTCAGACTGAAGATATTAAATCGCACTCGCAAAATCCTCTTCCTAACGCACAAGCATAAAATCCTAATTAGAAATTATGCCACATTCTAACTCGAAAGTCCAAACCCTAATTCTTGTCTTAAGGAAAAAAGGGCTTTTTTTACCCTTGCCTCATTGCCCCCCCCCCCCCCCCCCTCCAAGGCCCAAATCCATACAAAGTCCAAAAAGGCTTCCAAGCCCAACTATAAGGCCTCTAAGGCCCAATATGGCCCAAGAACACCTAACATCGCCTTAGGCCCAAAAATATCTTGCTACAACAGGTGGGCATGAGGACCAACCTAAACAAGTCCAAAAGCCCAACACTAATCGACCCCAAAAGTCATCTAAGCCAAACTATAAGGCCTCTGAGCCCTTGTTGTGCTGCCACTGCACCTTAACCAACTCAATAACCTTGTTCCTCAAGGTCTTCGTCTTCATGTCGAGGATCGCTACAGGTCTCTCAATTTAGTTCAGGCGGTCGTCCACTTGAATGACCTCCAACGGAACCACTGCGGAATCATCAACCAAACATTTCCACAACTACGAGACGTGAAAAGTACTGTGAATCTGACTGAGTTCCTCCAGAAGATCCAACTGATACGCTATCCTGCCCACCCAAGCTATAACCCTGAAATGATCGATATACTTGGGGCCCATTTTGCCCCGCTTCCTGAATCGAAAGACACATTTCCAAAGTGACACCTTCAGGAGAACCATGTCCCCAACCTGAAACTCCAAGTCTGATCGGCGCTTGTCGGCATAGCTTTTCTACCGACTCTGATCTGTTTGAAGTCTACTACGAACCTGCTGAATAATTCGGTAGTCTTGAGTACCACCTCGATACTCCCCATGACTCGTGGACCGACCTCACCCAACATATCGGGGTCTATCATTTCCTCCCATAGGGAATCTCAAAAGGAGGTCGATCGATGCTGGCATGATAGCTATTGTTATATGAAAATTCTGCTAATGGAAGATACGTATCCCAGCTACCGCCGAAGTCCATAACACACGCGCGCGCAGCATATCCTCCAATGTTTGGATGGTTCGCTTGCTCTGACCATCCGTCTGCGGGGGAAAGCCGTGCTGAAATGCAGACGAGTACCCAAATCCTCGTGAAACCTCTTTCAAAACC